TATACTGAACACTTAATGGAATTTATAGTTTTGTTTTAATGTTCACTTGGAAGCATTTGGATAGTTGCACGCTCAGATGATGGTGTGTTTAAAAGGGTCTTTGTTCACCTCTCTGTCCTGCCATGTACAATGGAAGCAGTGCTGGGGATGTGTCCTGGCATTCCACAGCCCTTGGTTCCTCCTTGTCTCCTTTGGCCAGGCTCAGGAGAGTGACCTGACTGGGAAAAGGGTTAAATAAAAAGAACATTGCTGCAGAGGCACTGATAGATGCAGCGCGAGCGCCGCTATTTCTGTTCTCTGACGTGTGCTGTGGAAGTGGGCTGATAGCAGAGCTGAGTAAGTCCCTAAGCAGAGAGAAATTGAAAAGGAGGCAAAAAGATTGGCTCCATCAACTAGTCCAGCTGCTGCTAGTACAGAAACTTGCCTTGTCTGGACAGGTTTTACTGACCCCAGTCTCTGGCTTCTGTCTCTTGCCTGGAGATGTTTTTGTGGCATAGCTGTTCCTCCTCTTTCCCCTACTAGTGCATTTTTGGTGTGAGTCTCCTTTCTCCTCCTCCTTGGCTCTTGAAAGATTTCTGGGAAGGCTGTCAGTTGTTTCTTTTTGCTGCTGAGGGAAGGAGGTGGAGGAAGGCAGTGTCATTTTGGAGCCACGGACAGGGAGAAATGTGAATGCTGCAACTTGGGCTGATATTTCTGTACTCTGTGCTAAAATAACCTCATTCTGCTAGCAGGCAAATACTGATGTACCTGGCATCTGCCAAAGTCCTTCCCCAAACCTGTGTGAAAGGTGCAGTGATACACTGTAATTTTGATGTTCTAACAGCCATAATTGTTCCTGAAAGAGTGTTGTTTTTGTTTAAAGTAAGCTCCTTGTTACTGCAGGGGCAGTTCTTTGTATGTAATCCACAGCTTTTCTTTTAGTAATGCCATGTTGTATCACAATCTGAAACCAAAATTGGCCACTGCTTTTGTTTCTTTTTCAGTTGATAGTTGTCTCAAACAGTCTTTCAGCCAGTCAGTTTTACTTCTAATACAAAGACATTATTCAACCCCCCTCCCAATTTAATCCTGTATGTCTCTCATCTGAACCCATACAGCACATGAATAGAATGTCAGTTGCTCACAAATCCATTGCTGTGCAGGCTTTTATATAAACAAAGTCCTAAGGATAAGCAAATGCCTTCCTTCTAATTAGCAGCATGTTTTGTGGTTCCATACATTCCAGTATGTAATAGACAGCTCTGGTGCCTAAAATAATCCCAGGGAAAACACTTGTATGCTGTGAAGATCGGGGTGGGAGGGAGAGGAGGCAGGAAAAAGTGTTGTCTATGTTCTTGGAAGCCTTTTCTGTCTTCATTTGGATGCTGTCAGCTTCTTTTACACAAACATTACAGCATCCAAGGGGAATTAGAAATACTTACCCATGACCACATCAGATTTTAGGTTTGTCAGGAGAAAGCAATGCAGAAGCAGGACCTTGGTCCCACTGCTTTCATTTTGGTTTCAGCATGCTGATAAATGCCTCCTATTGCTGGAAAGAGGTAAGGCTGACTGTCTAGGTGGAATACAGGAAATTTAAAAGTCTTACCTCATAGGTTAGAAATGGGTTTTGGATCTGTAAAAGTGCTGTGTAAGTCCAAAGTAACAGTTATTGTCTGTTGTGGTGTCTCTAAAGTTACACAGCAGCTTCCCTTTTATTACCAGTCTGTTATGAAGTGGTTAGGGACCATTGGGACAGAGAGACAAAAGTGGGATGCTTCTGGTCAAATGGCTCCTAACTGAGATAATAGTGGTCAAATTGAGCCTTTCAACTTCAACAAGGTTTTTTTGTGAGTCAGCTTATCCCAACAGCAGTGGAAATAGGAAAGGCAATGGCTTTGATTTGCATCCCAGCCTTCTGCACCAGTCTGGGCCATACCCAGTTCTGGGACCTCACTAACCTGTGTAGGACTGAACAATTTGAAAGTCTGTAAGCTCAGGAGCCTAAAGGTCAGACAGCCAAAGGGCAGGAACAACAGCTAATCATGGGCCTTTTTACCCATTGCTAAATGGAATGTAATCCACATTGCCAAAGCACATCAACTAAAGTTGTGATTTTGGGAAACAAAACCAGATGAGCTGTCTCATACAGCTGCACAATCTCCTTGAGGTGCAGATCTGCTGGCTGCACACAAACCAGTGCAGTCATCTTGCCATGGAAATGGCACCCTGGTTCCTAATCCTTGCACCTTGGCCCCTGAGGGAGGTGAGAAAGACAGAGGAGAGAGTCAATCTGATGAACCAGAAATGAGCTGCCAGTATTTAATGGTGAAGAGAATCAACTATTGCAGTTAACTTACCTAGGGGATGTACCTGTACATCAGATCACAGAGTGTGATCTGAAATCTGTCTGAATCTAGATTGGATGCCTTTCAAAAGAAGGTATTTTGGCTGAACTGCCAGTCCTTGGGCTTCATACAGGAACACAAGATGTCCTAGCCTGTGCTGGACATGATGTCAGACCAGCTCAAGGGGGGACAGTTTGTATAATGCAGCTCCTCTTCTGACATTCTGCTGTTCTCCAGGCCAGCACAGGGAGCTGGTGATGCAGTTCCACACAGAGAAGTCCTTCCCCATGACCCCTGTGCCCCCCATACCCCTGGGGTGCTGACCAGTCAGCCTTCCCACCATTCATGGCAGTTCCTGCTCAGTTATCTGAGGAATAATGACCATCCCGATCCCCTGTGACCTCAGGCACCTTGGGAACCCCACAAAGAGGGGAAAACAAATGAAACATTTTCATCCTGTCCTCCCAGGAGCTTCCAGAGGTGGACATCTGTGGCAGCATAAATGGTGGTGGAGAAGGAGGGCAGTGATGATCCCAGTCCATGTGTTGGGAGCCTTCCTGTGTCTCTTGGCCAATGCTGGCAGAAGTTGCTCTCATTAACAAAGTGTCAGGAAGGCACCAGTGCAACTGTGCTGACAGTGAGCAGCTGTTCTGGTGCTGTCCTCAAGGGATGGGGTGCCTGCAATCTGAGGTTTTCCCTTTTTCTACACAGAAGTAATTTCCCAAAGTATTTACCATGGTTTTGATCTTTGCCCAAAACTAAAATTTCTTTTCTATGGCCGGAACAAAATTTGGATTTGGAAGGAGTGAGACTCTTCACTCACCAGATGAGGCTGTACATATGTAAAACATTGGTATGACTTTCCATTTTTTGTTTGGTTAGAGACAATGATGTTGCTAAAAATTCAAATGTAAGAGTCTAATTTAAGCATTACCCTCTTGCAATGGGCGTAAGAGGCCCACAGAAATGTATTTTAATAAACTTGGATAGATTGTAAATAGACAACTTTTAGGATAATAGAAAGCCCTGCTTTTACATCCTAAAATATCATGAAGTGGGATTAAAGCTGAATTTTTAACCTTTCTTTTCCTACTTTTTAAGAAATGTGTGGTAATGTTGCAGCAGTAGCTTGTAGCACAGAAATAACTGTGCTGGCCATGAGAGCTGGAGTGGTACGTGGCTGACTGGAAAACTTCCCTCACATCTCATCTCCAGGACACTGTCCCCATGCCAGTGTCAGCAGTGGCCTCTCCAGTCCCCCAGGCAGTGCAGAAAAAAGCCTAAAATTCCCTGTTTTCATCACACACACACACAGGGGCTGTTTGAATGGAAAACTTGAGCTGCTGATATTTCCGTGGAGATCAGCTTAGATCCACGATAACGCTTCTCGAGGACTTACGTCTTCAGTTTTCTTAGCTATTTTCTGCAACTCCCTAAACAAAAATATCTCTGCTCCAAATTCAGAAAGGTCACTGTCTTCAACCACAAATTTAATTAACAGCTTTCCCCCTCTACAGACTTTTTCATTCCCCTCTTTAGTTAATTTTAACCCAGTGTCCTGCTTTAGGAGCCTGTATTTTCCACTTGAGGGAGTAGATGCTCAGAGGAGTGGCCCCAGGGAAGCTCAGCTCAGTAAGTGATCACCAGTGGGAGCCAGGCTTGTACACAGCATTACACCATGCAAAGCTTCCCATCTCCTGTTTCAGACCAAATGTCTACAAAAACAATACTACTACTTTGCTAAATTCCTGCATTCTGCAGATGGGAAACTCAATTTCTACAGGGAGAGCCAGGCTGGTTTGGGGCAGCTCACGGTGCTCTGTCTTTTTGCTGCTGCTGCTAATTTTTGTGAGCACCATAGAATACAGTAGAAAATTGAAACTGTGTGAAAGATCAACAAATCAGTGTAGAATGTCACGCAGCAACATCTGTTAACTTTGGCTCTATCTCATATCCTCCTGACCCCCTCCTTCCCAGGCACAAGTCTCCTGTTTTGTGAGAGCTCCCAGTGATAGGGACTTGGAGGGGAGGGGTGTGCAAATGTCTCACTGTTTCTCAGCACTCTGAAGCTCTTGCAAAAGTACCATCTGGAGTGCAAGGTTAATGTTTGTGTGTTTCTATATTTTTAGTTATGAAACAAATGGGAATTTGCTGAATGAATTAATTGTATTGCTCTGTAAAAGTCTATCTTGAGAGCCATTATGTATGGGAGCTTACAAAGCCTGTGGAGAGAAAGGAAAGTGGCTTCCCTTTCTAATTAGGGCTTTCAGGAAATCATTGATTACAGAATCAAGTAGGGTTGTTCAGAGACATTTGTTTGATAGTACTTCAGATAAATGAAATTAGTGCCTAATAATAATTTTGCTTGTAACACTGGAAGCAGCTGTACTTTCTAATGGTAAGCTTGCCCTGAAGAAAGCTTCTTCCCCCCTTCCTTCTTGTCCAAACAATTATCTGATGAAACATCACTTCCAATCTGTAGGTCCCAGTAAAAAAATATAAATCATGAAGAAGTGAGTGGTATGGTGAACAGTATGCTCTTATGTGGGAGGGTGTTTGTCTGGACCAAGTTAATGCTTGTTCTTATACTGCATATAAAAAAAAAAAAGTCAAAACAAAACCTTGACCTTGATTATATATAGAAATATTTTACTTTTTTTTTTTTTCCAACAGGGTCAGCATATTTCATTAGCTCCCATTCAAAAGTTAGAGGAAACTTTGTATGAATATCAGCCTCTGCAAGTGGAGACATATGGACCACAAGTTCCAGAGCTAGAAATGTTGGGAAGGCTGGGGTGAGTAAATCAGTGAATTTTAATTCCCATTTTATGGCATTGTAGCTGGGATTGTTACCATCTTCAGATTGCCAGGGATCTTTTTTTCCTTTCCTTTTTTTTTTCTAGGGATCTTAATGAAATATTAGACTTCCTGCCCAACCAACATTTTGTTTGGGTGGATAAGCTGAAATTTTTGGTCCTCTTGCCTTTATAGATCTATTGAGAGCTGGACTGGATTGCATTAGTGTTTTTAAGGTTGTCCTTGGCAGTCATAGTGAAGTAGCTGTTCATTTTCAGTTGCACGGTATTAAAAAATAAATAAATAAAAATCTGGGGCTTAATTTACCCAGCTGTAAGCCAGTAAAAATATTAAAGTTGGGCTGTTTGCCATGGAAAAGGGTAGATTTACTTGTCGGCTGCTGTCTACAGTCAAACTGTGTTTGTGAGGAATGAAGCACAGAGCTTAACTTTGTCAAAAAATATAATGCAGGGCTGGTCCAGCAGCTTGGCAGCATCGTGGTGTGCATCTATGTTTGAAAGAAAGGGAGTTTGGGAGCCTTCTGTGCCTGGCTAAGGGAGGTTAGGAAGTCCAGGAGTGATGTGTTGGTAGCTGAAATACCACCTGAAAACTGGAGCTGCTGGGGGAGTGTCACCCAGCTCATCATGGCCTGACCCTCAAGGTCATCAGCACTTCCAGTGCCTGGAAAACAGCAGGGCACAATGAATGTGCAGGCTGGCAAGGCAAGAAAGAGTTTAAAAAAAGAACAGTTTACCTTTGGCTGTGCAATCTGGGAAAACTGAAGCCACAAAGTACTGAACAAAGTTGAGGCAGTTTAGTGTGCAGTTTGGGAGACCACTGAAATCCAAACAGGAATCCCATCTAGTTCACTGGCATGGGAGAAGTTGTATCTCATCCAGGAAATGACAGAGATAGACTTAGGAAGGTAAATAAGCAGCCTAATGGTGCTTTAGAAAACTGAAGTGAGAACTGACAGTGCAAACTGTCTGGAAGTGAGGCTGTCTCCATTTTTACTGTTTCTGTGTCCTCCTGATGCCTGTAATTTTTATTATCTTCTGGTTTAAAGGGTTTTGCTCTGTATAGTGTGTGGCTGCCCCAGAACTGGTGCCACTAAATGCAATGAACATAGATGACTGCTCCTGATGGATTTGGACACCAGCATTCATGGGGCACAGGCAAAAGTATTAATTAGGGGTTTAAACTTGGGCAGAGCCTGGTTCAGCCTTCAGCACCTGTTTGGATGGAGCACAGCTGTGAGGGACCTCCAGTGTGAGAGGGGCTTGAAGGGCCCCCTCAGCCTCATCACAAACAAGAAAAAGATGCAGGGAGGATTCCCTTTGCCTGTGCCCCATGAATGCTGGTGTCCAAATCCATCAGGAACACTGTCCTCTATGTCCATTGCATTTAGTGGCACCAGTTCTGGGGCAGCCCAACATTTACAGAGCAAATCCCTTTAAACCCTGCAGTTGTGTCTGTGTGGGATTCAGAGTAGGGTTTGCTAACAATGCCACAGTCTGTCCTTGGAGACACCTTGAAAAGTGCCATTTTCCTCCTGTGAGCAGGAGCAGCCAGGCCTGTTGGGCTGGGCTCTGGGGGTGATGGGGGAGCTCAGGGGAGCGGGGTGGCTGTGGCAGCAAGGGGAGCTCATGGCTGGCTGGGTGGGTGGGTGGGTTGGTGGTGCCCACCAGAACAGTTCCTCTGAGTCCTGAGGCCATTTGCCATTCCAAAACAAATACATCAATGCTGTGGGTTCCCAGCCAGCCCAGCTCTAACCCTATTCCATGGGGTGTCTGAAATACCTTGAGGCGTGCAGGGCTGTTGGTTTATATATTTGTGTTGCTGTGTTTATAGGAGCTCATGCGCATTTCCTGTTGGTGATGAATGCTTCACTAATGTGCCTCTGTCCCTGCTTTGGGGCTCTTCAGGCAGCTGCATGCAGCTGCCTGGGTGAGGCAGAAGAGCTGGGCACAATGTAAACCTCTCCAGCTAAAGATTTTTAGTTTCCTGTTCATTTGCACTTATAAAAGGCCAGGCTGGATGGGGCTTTGAGCCACCTGGCCTAGTGGGTGGCATCCCTACCCAGAGCTGGGGGGTTGGAACTACATGGTCTTTAAGGTCCCTTCCAACCCAACCCATTCTATGATTTTGAATGTATTTAGTTTTATTTATTTTTTTTTTAATTTTAGTTTCTCCCTCTTTTCATTTTCCTGTTAATAATTTGTAGCCTGACATTTATTGCTGCTAAATAGTTCCCTCAAATGTGCAGGCTGTTATCTGAGTTTCTGGAGCCAGAACTATTGCAAAGACAATTGTCAACCTAGTGACTTTTGAATTCACTAATTTATAATTTATTGACTTGGTTTTCTTGGTGATACATTTTTTAATCTTCAAAACACTCAGTAGAATGAGTTTTTTTGAATATTCCATGACATCTTACCTTCTGCAAGACCTGCTTTAAGTTTCAGCATTTTTTTTCTTAGTGAGTTGCTGTAATGAAGGACACAGCTGGCAAGAAAGATTTAGCAAAGGGCAAGAAAAAGGGTGAATACTTACAGGGTCATGTAGAACATTTGTAAGGAATCTTTTATAATTAAAAAAACCCCAACTTTTTAAGATGACTTGTATTATTTGCTTATTAGGCTTTTCAAAAAACTTAATGAGCTGACCATAAACTTGATTTTGCATTTTTCCACTGTTCTTCTGTGTGGAGTTTGCATATTTTGCAAAAAAGGAAATTTATGTTCAAATTGTTCTTACAAATTTGTTTTCAGTTTCCCCTGGGGATGTAAGTTTTCTTTTTTTTTAAATACTGCAGAAAAGCATTAACATCCTTGTGCATTTTTTTGTTAGGGTGTTGGAAATCTGAGAATAATAAAGATTTAGGATTTTTTTTTCCCCAGCACAGATGATTAGTGTATAATGTGTAGGGGTTTGTGTCCTTCAGCCCCCCATGAAGGTCACTTTGGTTGTTCAGACTCGAGGACCAGCTCACGCCTGTCTCAGCTGTCAGATGGAAACGTGACTTGGAAAAGGGGAGAGGATGCGTGAGAGCATCTCCCAAACATGTGGTGCTGCCCTTGGAGGAAAATGGGCTCTTGGATCACTGGAACATGCCCATCCTGGGGGTGGCTTCTGCAGCTGCCTGTCCCTCCATGATGACTTACAGCCCTGGCTCTGGGTGGCTTTGTCACTGCTCTGAATTACTGAAAGGCGCTGGGAAATTGCTTTGTGCACGGAGCTGGGGGCAACCTGCTGATGTGTTTGAGAGAGATCCCTGCCTTAGCAAGGGCTCTGCTGGCACTTCTGCTGGCACCACAAACTCTTAGCTTGGACTGGAGTGGGAAGTGTCACCTTTTGGTTCCAATTGGTTCAAATCTGTTGAATTTGCCTTTTGGGGAGCAGAGGTGTGTGGCTGCAACAGAACACACTTGGGAGCACTTGCTTTACTTGGAGGTTTTCTTAGATGGGCAAAAAAGTCCTGTCTCTTTTATTTTTATTTTTTTTTTCTTCCTGATGTTTTAGCTGAGCATGCTGAATTTGTGTGGTTGGAGGTCTGCATTTTTCTTACTGGAAAACAAAAGAAATGAAAAATATAACAAACTGACATTCCAAGTAGTGAAAGAATAACACAGGATGGGGATGGAAAGTAGTGTGTTGCTTTAAAAATGTATGTTTGATGTGTAGTTTTGATTCTAAAGGAAAAACAAAACAAAAAAGCCCCTGAGGATCCAAATGATGTTTTTTTGGAGGTCCTGAAGAATGTAAAGACATTCCTGGCAGTAATTATAAGTCTGTCTAACAGGAGTGGCCACACAGCAGCTACCAAGTTTTACAGCTGTGAAGAGACATACACAGGCTACTTAAAAATTGAATATAAATTGAAAATCTGCTTATGTGATTAGCATTTTGGGTAAAGATATGTAAACTTCGTGACTCCAGGTTTAGAAACCTTGTAATCTAAAGTGGATCATACTCACCACAGTGCCAGTCATATCCTCACCATTCTCATAAAATTGAGGTAATTTACAAGTCAGGTTAAAATTTCTCTTTGCAGCAGACCTTGTAATCAAGTCAAGCCTGGTCTGCTTAAAATAAAATTGTGTTTGCCTACCTAGCTTTGGAGAGATCCAAGCTGAATATATATATGTGTGTGTGTATATAAAAATCAGATTTGCTTCAAAAATCTTTTCTTTAAGGGAAAATGTGACTTCTCTTTGATCTATCAACTTGTTTTCATGTATAATCACATTGTTAGGATCACCCTGGTTAATGTTTTGTTTAAATAAAATGCAGAAAAAGAAGTTTAATAGTGAACATTAATCTAATGAGGATAGGTAATATACTTGATAAATTAAAAGTTAATCTAAATAAAACATCATTTTAAGAGCTGAGGGGGTAAGTACTGAAGCAGAGTGGGAGTGCTGTGAAAATCTATACATACAATGAACATGCTTTAGCCCACTGTGCTTTTTCTTATGAACAACTGGATTGATTCATTCCCTTTTTCCTAGTGTAGGACAGCTCAGGCATTTTAAATTTCACATTAAGATGAGGTTGGGTTTCATACCTGTTAGAGCTTTGTTAGTGTTTAATTTTTAACCTTCACTTGAAGTGGAAAATTTCTGCATATTTCTTTGTTGTACAGTGTTGTAGTGTAATTTGAAACACATGTAGAGTTCTGGCACTTAATCTAGAAATGACTCGTGTAACTTCTTTGCTGTCAGTCACTGTGATTTTCTTTTTTTTTTTTTTTAAGTGAGGCAATAGTCAGGATGGTCTCCAAACTATTCTTACAGCATAGCTGAGCTGGTCTTTGGCTGGATTAGCTTCTGCTAGAACCCTGTCAGTGTCTGTGTAGGGTTGGAGGCAGTGAAATAACTGAGAATTGATTTTGAATGGGTGACAGGATCACTGGGCTTTAAAAGTCCATAGCAGGTGATTTTTCACATCTGCTCTGTCACTGGGGTATGCAGATATTTCTTGAATCTTGGAAAAGGAG